GCTGCATTTTATGAACGACGCTATTATTGTTGTTGTTTCGCTTTCGTGTTATATAGTTCTCGGTCGAAATAGCATTGATTGGGTGATTGCTGCCGTTGCGGTTGTTTTTGTTTTGCATTTTCATTTTGTTGTTTACTTCTCGATTCAGTTTGGTGTGTGTGTGTGTGTGTGTGTGGGGAGTTTTTTGTTGCTTCATTTTTCTGCTTACGAATGCACTGGATTTTTATTACTTCTCGCATTGGCAGAAATGAATCATGGCAACGTGATGTGTAACGTCGAACGAGCGAGCAAGTGCGAGCGCGCGCGCACACAACGAGTGGGAGAGCAAACGAGACAGGCCTGTTAAAAAAAGGGATTATATGAAAATAAATAATTGCGTAAATTTTTTGTTTCGGTTCGGTTTTCGTTGTTTGTGTCTATATAGTGCAGCTGTCGTTCTTCGCTAATGCCTTCTGATTCTTTACCATATATTGTTTTTCTCTCTCTCTCTCACTCTTTTCCTTCTTTTCCCTGTTTATCTCTGTGTTCCGTTTTTTTGTCGTCTTCACTTCATGATTTCTTTTTTTCAAGCTTGGACTATAAAAATCTGTAGCCGCACTGAAAATCTCTCTGATGCTCCCGACAAAATTTGCGTCATAATTTCATGCAGTCTGTTTGTTTTGTCTCTCTGGAGAGCGGCTCTTATTGTAGGCTTGTTGTTGCTGTTTTTGTTGTTGTTTTTTTCCTCATCTGGCTTCGTTCTGTTTGGTCGAATTTTTCATAAGTCCGGCATTTCATTTTTATTTGCTTTGTTTTCAAAAGCTCTTCGCCATTTTAGTATAACAAATTTACGCTTAAAGCCAAATTATGACTGTATCGCTTCTCCATTTTTATCATTTCAAACAGGGAGAGTGGTTTTTCTTCTCCATCTTCGACGTGCTGAATTCCTTTCTCTCGCGTGGTTTCTTTTTATGTGTGCAATGCACAAACAGCGAAACAGCAAAAAAAAAACCATTTCGACGAATTCACATGCAAAAAATGACACCTACAGACATAATCCCAGTCATAATGATGAAATAAGCGGGCACAAGAATTGGATTCCGTGAAGAGTTCGCCTCGCTTGGCAGCTGTAATGATGATTTTCGATGTATGCTTTTTCGGTTCATTCATCGTCGTCGTCGTCGCTGTTGTTGTCGTTGTCGTTTTCGACGTCTTACGTACGCTGATCACGTTTCCAATTTTTGGCATGACGCACATTTATTCTAATTGGCAAACGAAAGACTTGTTCGTTGCAGCCAGATGTTGGACTTGTTCGAGGGAACAATATATAAATTATCACACCGATGAACGTAATTGGAACCTGAATTTTCTATCACACAGAGAGCACAGAAAAAAAAGAACACGAGAAGAATGTAGAAAATGGTTTCTCTCGCGGGTTTGGCATAACTCTTCGGATTATGATCGTGTTATGTGTGTGTGTGAATTGCATGAATAAGCGTGATGGCAACGGACCGGAGGATTCCGATGTTATCAATGTGAAAAATTGCAATAATTCGCTCTTGATAATCACTTTTCGAGCCAACTGTTCATTCATATGCACATTGCAAACAAAGAGGACGACGACGACGACGAGGGCGACGATTCGAAGCAGCTTGTCATCGGCGAGAAGAAAGCGTACACCCGTTACGATGTGTGTAGTTAGCAAATGATGATGTTTTGTTTTGCCCGTGTTTTTTTTCTTCTTCTTCTTGCCGTGTATTTTTTCGCTTATTCCATTCATCGTTCATTGAGCCGATTCCCCATACATGTTTCTATATTTATCTCATGACTTGCAAGGGCCTTATATTCATATTTTTCCGATCTAATACGTATAAACGAGCGTGCACGCGTGCACGTTGGACTTTCATCATTCATTCGTTCATGATGATGGCTTAGCTTTCTCTTTCGCTCCGCCATTCAACGTCTCATTCATATGCTAAAAGTTCTGTGAAGTGAGTTTTGTTGTTGCAGTGAAGCGCGGAGACGAAGTCGCGCGCGCGCTCACCCGCACACGCTCTTTCTCATGTTTTGATCGAGCAAAATGTGCAATCGACTTTGATCGTGCAAAACGAACACACATGCCTGCACGCAATCTGTCTCTTTAAAGATCTCTCGCTGCACTCGTCGGGGCTCGAGGCCTGCCATGTTTTCTCTCTCTCTCTCTCTCTTCTTCTCGAGAATATATGAATATGCCGGAGCCTAAAGTGATTCAGGCCAATGTGATGACTGCACATTTTCAAACACAACACCAAATTTCAATTTGCTGCTGGTTTTCATCGTCATTCTACATTCGCTTCATAATCATAATAACAATAATATCAACAGAACAGAACAGAAAAATAGTACCCCATCGGAAACTGTACTTGATTCGCTGCGAAACCAACCAACCAGCCAACCAACAATAACAATTTTCCAAAAGATAGAAGCGCGCGAAACGTGTATTTGTATACCCGCAGAAGTTGTAATTTGTGCTAAATCATATACATCGAGAACGGTTGACTCATGTCGAGCACACAGAAAGCTTAAAAATCACGCACAAAATTACAAGAATAACAAATCCAAGACAACGACTCGACCGAGAAGCAAAGAGAGCAAAAAAAGACGACGACAACAACAACAACAGCAGCCGTAATATTCTGTACATCATAGACGCGGCTGTAGATTCTGAGGAGCAAAGCAAAAACGAAGAAAAAGTAAAAGACGACGACGACGACGAAAAAAAAACACGGATTCAAATGTACGCAGACGCTGTTCACAAGATTTTACCCAAACAAAGTACAAAACATACACACACCCAGTCTCAGTCAAGTACATGTTGGACATGAGCGCAACGCAGAGCACAAAGTCAACGCCACCGTCGTCGTCGCCGTTGTCGTTGCTGCTGCTGTTGTCGTCGTCGTTCATTCCATCCATGTACCGCGTAACACGTTGAGCGAACAAGTCCAGACAGCATTCATGAGTTTGGAGTATGTGCGATGGTGTGCGTGCGTGTATATTTTTGTTATTCCCGTAATTTTGCATTCCTTTCTCGCCGCACACGAAAACCGATTCCCATAGCCTGCGTTCGACACGACGGCTACGGAAAAATAATCGACTTTGCGTCTCTTTTACGCTTCCATTGGCGCGCACTTTTGACTTTGAGTGTGTGTGCGTGCGTATATTTTCTTTTCAACTTATTGTGCACGATCTACTATGCTGTGTGCTGTGCTGCTGCTGCTGCTGCTGAGAATCCAAAATGGTCGACGTCGCCGTCGTGCTAAATAACATTCAGTCAGAAGACGTGTACAGTATTGTTCGCGCACAAAAAAAAATCGTTCGCATCAAATAGAAGGAATTTTGGTTCATTGAAATTTCTTCTACCCAGAAAACAACAACAACAATATTTTTGTACATTTTGTTTCGATAATAAATGGTGTTTCGTGTAAAAATGAATTGAATTTAGTGAAAAATAGTGCGAGAAACGACATAAAATCTGCAGTGAAGTAATTAAGTCAAAAAAATTTCGTTGGAATGTCAGGCCGCAACGCATTGGATTTGAAAGTAAAATATTTTTTGCTTTTTTTTCGAGCGTAAATTCCACAATACATGAAACGAAAAGAAAAGAGAGAAAAAAAGAGTTTGTGATTTGTGTTTTTGAATTTTACTTTATTTGCAATTCGCAAAAGCGCCATAGCCTGTGAATACATAAATTGCAATTTATCGAAGCGATTTTTGTTTTTGCTGTTTTTTTTCTGTTATTTTATGATTGGTTTTTGATATGAAATGGTAACTTTTGTTGCGAAAAATGAGGTTTAAAGTGAAAAATGTACAATCAAAACAAAAGAATGGCAGTGCGTGCAACCACATTTTAGAGCGCCACTCAAACTTCATTATGGGTGTGTGATTTGTTGTTGATACATATATATATATATATAGATGTATGTTGAAATATATACGTATGCTGTGTGTATGGCAGAGAAAGAGAGTAAAAATAGCTGCAGTGATTTGGATCAAATTGTAAATCTTTTCCGGGGGTGTGAATTTTCATCGTTTGACAGAGAGAGAGAGAGAGAGTTCAAAATCGCCGTAAGCGAAACAGAAAATAATTTTTAAAAATACACAAGATTTGTATTTTTTTTCTTCTCTTTGCTCGCGCAATATGTTCTCGCCGTATTTTTTTTCTGAAGCTGTATTTAGATTTGATTTCATCATGAGTCGTGTACTGAATCTGTTTTTTTTGCTTCTTCTTATGTGTTTCTCTCCTGAAATATGATGTATGTATGTGTGTGTGTGTGTGTGTGTGTGTGTGTGTGTGTGTGTGTGTGTGTGGTGTTTGATGCAATGTGCAGTGATTATTTTTGTCACGGTCTCACTTCATGAGCCTTGTTGCGTTTTCGATGTCACGGTTTATGCGATTTTGCCTCTTCTATATCACTATTTTTTTTTGTTCCTTTCAATTTGCCTTCACTATTCGATGTTATATGTTCTCGAACATTGTCGTCGTTTCTTTCGTTTATTCCAACTCCAAAATCGTCCATACATTAGATAGAGCCAAAATGAGACAGACATGGCTTATTATTATACAATCGAACTTTGGTCACATGTCACCATAATGGGTATTAAACGCGCTTAGTTCATTCATTTCCATTTGGTTTGCGAATCCCATTGTTTGCATAATTATTGCGTGCTAAATTATATCTGGTGGCATAAGGATAGGAGCAAGAAACGACGACAGAATTTCGGTCGACAAACTTCTAAAATTCCACGGATACAACGAAAACCGCCTAACACAGAACGAATAAAAAAAAACAACAACGACATGGCAATATTGTATAACATTTGGCATACAAAAAAGTAGCCATCTGAAGTGATATTTCATGGCGAATAAGCTAAATATCATTTAAATTAATACCAGGCAAATTTCGGTGTTGTTGTTCTTCGTCGTCGTCGTCGTCTTCGTTGTCTTTTCCTTCTTCTTCTTCTCCTTATTTTATTCCGTTTCGTTTTCGCTCTGTTCTACTCGTCGTTTTGCTTTTCGTATTCTGTTCTGTTCGGTGTTGTTTTTTCTTCTTCTTCTGTGTGGTGATTTTGGTGTGCTATGTGCGTGATTATATCTATAAAAGGAGCTATAATTGAATGTGCGACACTCATGTGTGAATTTGTTTTGGCTGCTACACATTTTTTATGTGGCGCTGCTGCTGCTGCTGTGTTTTTGTCGTGGCTGCCATCACCACCAAAGTCGCGCCATAACCATATCCTCTATCTCTATCTATGTTTTTTTTTCCCTAATTGTATTGTCCATTCTTGGTGTGCTATATACTGACGCGACTTCTAGTGTTAATGCTTTACTTGGTTTACTCTGTCGCGTGCGCTCTCTCGGTGGTGTGTATTCAGGGCATTGAAAAATGGCACACTCAATACACACCCAGTTATCTATATCCTATACATGTATCGTCGCTCTTTCACGGTGTATATATCAATGCATATACCGATATAAGATGCGCAATGTTTCGACTACATAAATCTATATGTATACATATGAATAGCATGGATCCATGTCGGTGGGACCAGAGCCAAGGGGCAACTTTCCAATATAGGCCATAATTTTTGCGAAATGTCGTAAAACAATTTTAAAAAAATTACATTAATCATTGGCAAAGTTGAGCTTAAAAAAATTGCCCCGAATAATTCTCATACCATCAAAACATTGCAACAACAGCAATAACAAGCAAAGGATAGAGAGACACAATAAAAAGAGTAATAATAATGTGTACTACGACAACCTAATTGTATAATAGAAAACCACGTTATGGCTGATACTACAAATACAACTGCTACTACGTTGTGTGTGCACACACAAGACATGTACTCCGTCGTACAAATATCACTACGTATATACCCAGCGAATGATGTATATATGTATATAGATGGCGACTTGTGGCCATAGTCTGAATTGGTTGCGCTAGACTCGCGCGTCACAACGACACACGATAACCACACACATTGCAAAGTGCTATCGCACTGCGAGGCGCACTAAGAGTTGTTTTTGTTTTTTTTTTCTCTACACTACTGCTTCTTCTTCTTCTTTTTTTCCATTTTATTTTGCTTTCAGCTTTATTTTGCTGAACGAATTCTCTTATCTCTCGAGACGCATGCACGAGGGCGAGTCAGTGAGTGTGTTGTTGCTTGGCGTAGAAGCATTGAAAGATGAGGAAAAAAAACAGCACACAACAAAACGTTTCGCCAGAAAGCAGAAAGAGAGAGAAATATCAAGCGTAAAACACATCGTGGCGGATTCGAGTGGCGTGTGTGTAGTAAGCAGACCGTATAACGTATAGTTCGTGTCGTATATAGCATGCGCACGCTCGTTCGTTCATTCTTTCGCTCGCTTTTCTCTGCATCTCCCAAAATTGTGTTTGGCGTATCGAGTTTAATGCGCGCTTAACAAACTTACGACGTACGATTCACTCGTGTATGGTTGTTAACTACGCCACAATCAAAACACTGTTACTTTTTTTTTATCAAGCTCGTATCACATACAACATATTTGTGCTTCGAAACAATCGAAAAACGGGAAATACCCAATCACAAATCCAAATAATTTTTAACATTTTTTAAATGAAACGCTTTGAATATTGAGTCAATAATTTTATGTAAAAATTCAGTATAAATAGTTCAGTGATTGTGAAATAGTGTGTTTTTGTTTTTTTTTCACCTCCTCAATAACACGACCTGCAATGTGCTACGTGAAATTACATCAGTGATTTGTGTTTTTTTAGGGTAAAGAGAAAAAAAAGACGTCATGTTTTTCACTTCATTCTTCTCATTTCACAATATTTTGTTTTTACGTTTGTGTTTTTTTCCCCATCATTTCGATTCGTAATTTTAATTTCCGAATTGCGAATCGGTCGTCATGTTGACGCCGCGACAATGAATCAATCAATTGGGAGCATTTATTTTTGTAACCATCGCAAAATAAATTGCACACACTCTGAATGTAAATAGAGGGACAAGTGTAAATTAAACGAAAGAAGAAGCAGCAAAAAAAAAACATAATGAAAGTGAGAATAAAAATAAAGCACTTAGAGAAAAAGACACCAAAATACGACGTCGCCGTTTTAAAAATAAGATATGTGTGTGTTTTTTATTTCCCTTCGCTCATCGTCTCATCTAATCGGCCCAAAAACACTCTGAGCTATGCCATGCATTTGGCGAACACATTTGTGTTCGAACAAGCGAGGGGGCAACAGACAGAGACAGCACGAATAGAATCGCCGAAAAGAAGAAAAGATGTGAATAAAATAGATGTAGAGCACGACGAGAAAAGAAAATAAAATAAACAGTGAGTGTCCAAATGAAGTAGCAACAATAGCAACACAAACCGAAGTCATTCGAAATAGAAGTGTTAAACTTGCATATTTGCCTTGGTCTATTCAAAGCACACAAAAAAATAGAAAAGAAACAACACTGTCGCCAGTAGAAAGAGAATCACGCGAGAAAAAAACGCAATTGATCAACCAACAACAACAACAATGACAACATCACAGAGAGTCGAAAAGCGAACAAAATACAGAGCAGTTCAAAGACATTTGCTGAAATGTGTATTGCGCGTGTTTTTATTGTTTTTTCTTCGCTGATGGGCGGCAAAGAAACGCAACATTGGGTTTTAATGAATTTCCAAGAAATGGAGGTTAAAGTTTTAGCCGAAATGTGTTGAAATTCATTTTATTTCTTTCAATGAATTTACATTCGATGCGCACGATAGCATGGTGCTTTGATTCGTGCTTAAATCACTTTGATGTTTTCGTTAAAGTTGTTCGATGATTTCGTTTGAAATGGAAATAGAGATAGAGAAAAATTGATTGATAAAATGAATCATTTCCAACGAAATAAACATTACTGTTTCGGTTGAGAAGTGCCCAAATTCCCATACGCACATACACACACGCACATGCATGTTCATTTCGTGGTAAATTTACGCTTCAAATTGAACGCTATAGGCCGTTTCAAAGGCAGTGCGTTGTGAATTCAATGTTAATAACAATAATAATAATCGATTGATTGTAATGTAATAAGTAAAACGATATATATGTTGATCTATTTACGGTTTTTACAACATTCACTTCAAACGATATTGAGTCATGCTTTTCGTTATCCCCATTCAACATCTTCACCGGGCTTAGCTTTTTTTTTGAAGTGCACCACACACGCACACGCACCGAATCTTGAGAGATGAAATGTAAAAAAAAACACACGTTAATTTGGATCACTACGTTTCAAATTTGAGAGTCTCATTTTCAGACGTTGTTCGCCGAGATTCATTCTGTGAATTTCACCATCATTTCTTTCAAGAGCGAGAGAAAGAAAAGAAAAAAAAGATGATGTAAAGAGGAAAATGTATATAATTTATTTACTACGCATTAGTAAATGGGCATTAAATTAACATGCGAGAGAAAAGACAAATACAGGCGAAATAAACGTAGAAAAAAGCGACAACAACAACAATAACAACATATAGACATCAAAACATTAATACGCAATAGAAACGAAGGTTTTTTCTCTATTCACAATGGAGTCTAACTGAGAGACTCTCCATGAAGGAGGACAGAGAAAAATATCATACTTTCACGTGTATCAGTGTCAGTATCAATCACCAGAGTAGTAGTTTCAGTATGTGTACCATATATGGTGTATGTCTATCAAGTGGATGGTTATGTTGCGCTGCTCTGCTCTCTCCGTGTCTCTCTCTCTCTCTCTCTCTGTGTGTGTGTTTGCGATGGAAATTGGTTCAGTGACGTATGGGCTGAATGAATGCTATTTGTGTGAAATATGAAATATGGCACAGAGAGGCAAATCAAACGTGAAGCGAAAGAAGAAAAAAAACATACATACACAACACACATGGAGAAGAAAAATGAGAAAAAAGAAGAAAATCACGTAATAATTGTGGTTATATGCTGTTGGATGCAATACGTTCATGTATGGATTTGTGCGATATAAAATTTACTTACAAAACTCGATGAAGCAGAAAAAAAATGCCGAGCGCGAAAATAGAGCATCGACACATTTCTGTGTGTCTATCTCTTTTGCACCATGTCTATTTCTCTGGCACACTGTTGGATTGCTTTTGCTGTCTTCATCGCCGCCGTGCGATACACAATGCACACTCTACGCAATATGTCTACAATGAATCGAGTGAGAGCGAGAAAATTTAAGAGATTTTGTAAAATAATGCCTGCGATTGGGGCAATAAATTATATTTTAAGTCAACTTTGAACAGTTTTCAGGCTTTCAACTCGTCTCATTCAAGAAAACATGGAACATTCTCAACAGCCGCACATTTCCACACACACACTCGCTCGCTCGCTCGCACCGAATCGGTTATACAATTAGAGCATTAACAGTAGCATATCGACTGCATGGGCAGGCGCGACAAATTTTCAAACGAAGTAGCAAGACTTAACGAGAAAGAGAAATTATAAAATGAGCATCGAATGAATAAACATGGGTCGTAAAAATAGATCTAACATATATATGATATGAATGTATGAGGTAGCTGTGTTGTTATTGTGTGTTGTTATTTAGCAACAGCAGCAGCAGCCACAGCAACGGATGCAAAGCGCCGTAGTCTGTGTCAATTACAGCATGACTTGGCGGTGTGCACATTTTCGTATTTGCACTTAACAAAACAACAACAGCAGCAACAACGGCAGCAGCACCAACAACAACAGCAACTGGAAAAATAACGAAGAACTGTTAAAGTGGCCTCTTTATTTTTTTTAAAGTGAATTTTACCATTTTAGAATGAAACTTTTCGCTGTATGTATTGAAATGCGCAGTAAGCGTATTTATTTGTCACTTATGTGCATTAATGCGACTTGAAAACGAGTGAACGAATGAACGTATGTCAGAATGAATAGGAAGACGATTTCTTCCGTTGTCGTTGTGGTTGTTTAGTTTGCGTGTTGCAATATAGCTGGGCCCGTTTTTTTTCTATTCTGTATTGAATGAACAGAGAAAAAAAGACGAGAGCAGGGAGAAAAAGAAGGAAAGAAGAAAAAAACGCAGCACAAATGCGACGAATCAAAAATAGCACGATTGAATGGCGATAGACACACATTGTAGCGCCATCAAAAGTGTCGCTCAAAACACATACGCCAAATGAATACACGACACACAACGGTTACTGCTTTATTTATTGATACATGAAAAGAAATTTATTTGCTTTTGTTGACAGTTTTGTTTCTCTTATCATCGGCTCCGTTGTCTCCGTGCTCGCCGATGTGAGCGTGTGAGTGTGTGCAGTGTTTCCTTCGGCCTCTGTTGCTCTTTCTCTTTTGTCGCAATCGAGAGCAGCGCCGATGAAAAACGAGAAAATTTTCCACAATCATTACTCACATTTTTCTCACACTAGCGATATCGCTCTCTACTGTTGTCAACGTCGTCTTCACCGTCTTCGTCGTCGTCGTCGTATCCTGAGAAGCGTTTTTAGCTCCGTGGAAGCCAATGATAATGGCATAAATCGAGCTGAAAAAATGAAAATAAAATCCCAGGCCACTTAACACGCATTAAGAGCTCTTTCACGCAATCACACTGATTGTTTCAGCTTTAGTCGAATGACTCAATCTCACACATACCCCCCCCCCACACACACACACACACACACCGTATAAATACAATTTAAGCTGTCATGTTCGACACCACTGTCGAGGAGGAAAAATCAAAGATGGGATTAGGAAGTCAAGCAAAAACCAATTGTTTATTTTCTCATTTTCTTCCATGCACATGTGTGCATACAAACACACATACATAGATGTATTTGCCGTTCAATCACTTGACTCGATGGCATTGAGAACACACACTTTGATTCGGCAAATTATGGAACAGAAGAAAGAACGAAAAAAAACACCTCCAATATGATTTCTTTTACTTTTTCTTCTTTTTTACGTCCAATACAGTCAAGATTCCCGTTGAGGAAGGAAATGACTCCAACAAGTCTTTGGATATTAAGACCATATTTGAACATGCCATATATTCAAGTGGATGGCGGTTGCATGATCGAATCGATCAAAAAACACTTGAATGCATGAATGTAAATAAATGCTTTATTACCGCAACTAAAATCCAATAAAAACGCAAATATATGCGAAACGAGTGGCACGTGTCAATTGGCCAAAAATTCTAATTTCTCAACAGAGAGCACACTCAACTCGTAGGCGGGTCGTGTGTATGCGTTAATTCATTCTTTTCTCGTCCATTTTTTTGTTTTGTTCACCCTGTAGTTTTATTGTTTCTCTCGTTCATTCAGTGTTGCATTCCTGACAATATTCGGCACAAGTATTGTTTTATTTTTATTGTTATTGTTCGCTATTATTATTCATTTGCAATAATCATAAAAAGAATATAATATACGAATCGTATGCGTGTGCTCTTATCCGTGCTGTCACTCGCTTCGATACACGCTCGTTCATTCGTTCGTTTGCGCTAGCTCGCGCGCGTCTCAACATTCGAGGCGGACTGGATGGAATTTAATATTTTGCACATGTATTTGCCATTGACGGAATATTTTATGTAAATATTAATATAAATATATAATATAATATCGGAACGAAAATGTGAAATGATTGTTGCTGTTGATTTTTTTGCGTTGCACGCGCGTATATACGTGTGTTGTGAAAGCGAATCAAGCATACACACAAACACGTTGGTACAAACACAATGAATGGGAGACATGCTTGCCATTTTCACTTGCACTCGCTCAATCGCGCTTCGGTCTGCATGGTTTCTTTTTCAGCTCAAATTCGCAAAACGACAGACACGTTACATAAAAACATCATCATATTGCTGCTGCTGCTGCTGCTGTTGCTGTTGCTGTTGCTGACAACAAAGAAAAAAAAACACACACACATTGATTTGCCCGTTGCTTCTCCTCCTCTGTTCCCGTTCACTTTATCTTCGGTTTCATTGTTGTGATTGTTATTCAACGCGCTGAGATTGGATTGTGTTACGGACACACAATCGGTAATATGATTTTCAAGTACACGTTCCACATATTGCGCGTGTCTTTGTATGTGTGCTTTCTTCTTCTTCTTTTTTTCGTCTCGCCTCTCGCCCTAGCGCATAAATGGCAAAGACAGTGATATGTAGCCAATATGTTGTTGTTGTTCTTTTTTCTTTGTCTCTTTGGTCTTTTTTTCTCTACTCATTTCAGTTTTGTTTTTGCGCTTTTCTCTCGCTTTTTAACTTACTTTTACATTCCGTTGTTGTTGTTCTTCGTTATTTTTCATCAATGTCGCTGTCACTTTGTTATTTGCAAATGAAATTTTTGATGTGAAATCCTTATCGCACAGCGATTTTGATAATCTGTAACATACGGAGATGAGAGCAGAGCAGAAAAGTTGTAGAGTAAACTGTTACTGACAAATGTGCATTCTTTTCTATCAACGACGAACACTTGCTGCCATGTCGATCGTTTGCGCATAGTTTTTTTCGTCTCCTGTTTTTCAAGCCCGGAAACTATTTTCGCCAAAGTATCGAAATTCTATGCAAAGTTCGTCATTTATCGCTCTCTTTTTTCATTCTTATTTCTCTTCCATTTTTTTTTCCGGACGGCAACAACGGTGTGCGCTGCGTGTGTTTGCCGAACGCGTGAGCGCAATCAAGGTGGGCCGCTCTCGTAAGCAATAATAAATTAAATGAGAGTTTTGACTCAAGAGCCCAGTGATTGCAACGGAGTGTGTGTGTATGCGTTTCACTCATTTGGCACTGATATCGTGATCGAACCGTTATCGTTCCATGTGAAATGTTCACATGTTCACTGCATGCAAACGAAAATAATAATAATAATAATAATAACAACAGCAGCGAAAAACGACGAAGCAAAAAAAACGGACGGCCAGCATGTGCGCGATTTACAGATAAAGTTAAATAAAAAAAAACTGCCGTTGATCTACTTGCAGACAAACCGAAAAAGAAAGAGGAAAGACTAAACAAAAACGTCTTTTATTATTATTTTATTTTTGTTCATCATTCTCTTCGTTTCTCAACAACAACAATCACAATACCACACACAGACACACACACACACACACCACATCTCCACAGATTTTTTTATTGTCAATCTCGAATGATCGTGTTGATTTATCTGTGGCGGCGGTAACGTCATCGGCGGCTTATGCAAAAAGCCTGTCTTTCTCTCTATTGATTTCGCTGCTCCGACACAACAACCACCAATTAGAATGTCCGAAATAGAAAGAAATGCAAACAAATTATGTCTAATTAAAAGCAAAACGCAAGAAAAAAACTGCGAAGAATATCAAAGCAAAAAAATGGAACTGAACCGGAGAGCTCTGAAAAAAAAGAAACCGAATAGCAAGTGCAAGTATTGGCCGCGCGTACACATGTGTGTGAACGCTTTTTCTTCGGTTTTTCTTCTTTTTTTCGGATGGGCTGTGCGCGAATTTGGCCGATGCACGACTGATTGTATTGGAGGAGTTTTTTTTCGGAAGCGGTAACAGCAGTCGAGTGAGCGACCGACCGATCGTTCAAGCACCATTGATATTAAATGATAATGATAAAAAACGTAAATGTTGATCGTATGTATTCGCTCTTTGACGTAGCAAGAGAACGAACGAACGAGCAAGCGAGTGAGTGAGTGTAATCAATTTGGTGATGTGTGAAACGATGGTTATATTCCTTTGCGGTATCCGACCGACAGTAAATAAGTGTGTGCGTTGGTCCGTGAATATTATCATATAGGTGTATGTGTGTTTTATGGTTCTCTGGTTAGCCGTTAAATACACGCAAATTTACAATCACAAAGCTAATAAGCGTAATAATTTGGCAGATTTTGTCTGTACGTAACAAAGAAGTCCCCACGAACATCGACCACGTCCCCTCTCTCTCTCTCTCTCTCTCTCTCTCTCTCGCTCTCGCTCTCGCTCTCGCTCCCAGTGTGTATGTTTTTGTGTCTGTTTGCGCGTGTATATACGCTCATTTCAGAAGCAGAAGAGCGAATTAAAAAAAAACGTAAATGTTCTCTAAGTATATTTTTACATATATGTATATTCACACGGTAGGCTATCGGACGAACGCGCGGCGATGTAGTTGAATTGGTATAATTTTCTAATTTGATTCGCATTCATCCGAAATGTTTCGAAAGATCATCAGTGCATAATTGCTCGTTGCGGTGTTGTTGTCTCCTCCAGAGAAACCAAAAATAAACGTCCGTGTGTATATAAATTTCAATGAAGCAACAACATCAGCAACAACTGTAGTGTGTAGCTAAAGTAATTTTTCAATCGAACAATTATTCATTTTCAACAAGTTAAAAATCATTTTCGGATCATTTAGTGCCGGTGAGTTTGGTTAAATACATACAAATCGGTGATAAAAAAAAATACACGGCGTTAATATTTTTTTTCTTCTCTCGTTTCATTCAACACTCGGACACTAGTGGTATGAATATGTGGGTAGTAAAGAAAATTAATGATTTTGTTCAGTGGATAATCGATCATTTTTCAACAAATCATTTACTACGGCGTGGAACACAAAAACAAAAATGTTATCGTAAAATTATGTTTTTGTCATCGCCTTGTTTTTTTTTCCATTCATTTGTAGTTTTTATTTGCGCCTCTTACTGATTCTTTCTGATTGCGATTTAGTGAATGAGTTGTCCTATTATGTGTTATTGACACTACTCGCTTACTCGTGCCTGTCAAATGTACGATTATTTTTTTTCTCTTCGTAAGTTGTGTCTGAAAATTGTA